GGCAGGGGCAGGGGCAGGGGCAGGGGCAGGGGCAGAGGCTGGGCCTGGGGCAAGTTGTGGACGGGATTCTGGGCCTTGCGGGGACGGCCTCTGGGCCTGGGAGAACCCCCAGGCGGAAGCGGTTGAGGCGCGAGTCCAGGTAGGGGCGCAGATCTAGGGAGAGCATAGGATTTTTTGACCATTTGGAGCAGTCCCGTGGTCTTCAAACGATTCAAGTGGTGAGTCAACAAGGTGGAGTGATTGGGTGGAAGCTGGTCCTTGTACACTTGCTCTATGTACTTCCCTATTGCTCTCTTGCTCGAACCGTTCTTCTCCTTCAACGCCTCGATTGCCGTGTATATCATCTACCAAAATCAAAACACCACACACTGATTTACAATTTACAATTCACAATTCACAATTCACAATTCACAATTCACAATTCGTCAATTAATTAACTCATTTTTACCTCGGCGTAGGGAGGGTGGTTGGCGGGAGGGTCCGGAGGAGGCGGGTGGTCGTTGGGCTCGGCCGGGAAAGGCACGGCGGTGGGCGGCGGAACGGACGGTGGAGGGATCGAGGAGGGGTCCATGATGAAAATTATAATTTGTCTAGAGAGAGAGAGAGTGAGGGTTAGGTGGTTTTTGTAAAATTGAGTATGTGTGGTGGAAATTGGAACATTCAACTTAATTTGAAGGCTGATGAGTTGATGATGACGGTGATGATTGAACCATTGCCTTCCAGTCCACCCCTCTCAGCCGTTCGATTCACCACTTTAGATACCTGACGTGGACTCCATCTGTCGCTTCTCATTCTTTTCTCCGCTTGCATTTCCGCCCCTTGTTTTTTCTCTATTCCCCCCCTCTTTTTTTTATTTATTTATTTTAACTAACATTTTACATTTTCAATAAATCTAATTAATGCCTTACCGTTTATAAATTTAATATTATGTATTTTCATTATATCGGTTCAATTTTCTTATTTATACCTTTTTTATTCTATAATAAATAATTTGTCGTAAGAGGAATGTCTAATGGTTTATTAATATAAAAAAAAATGAAAAATATACTAAAAGATTAAATGAGTGGAGAAAATGTATTTTAATGTTTAACTCTGAAATTGAGTTTGTTTTTATGTTTAGTTGGTAGAATATATTATAGCATTTACGGGTATTTAATAGCGAGATTTAAAAAAAAATTAAGAATCTTTTAAGTTGTGAAAATTAGATTCTTTTTCATTGATGTGATTTTTTAAATGCTTTTATGAAATTGATATTTTCTTTTTTTTTTTAATTATGTTTCTTAATAAAACATTAGCATGAAGAAGAGTAAGGATTTTGAATTTTTATCAAGTTGAGAAATTTTTTTAGTCATATCTATAATAAAATCCTTATAATCTTTTAAATATGCTAAACATGTTTATGAATTTTAAACAATTATTTTTTTTTCTAAAAACAATATAATTTCCAGAAATATATTTATACATACATACTAACGATTAAATTGTGAGAAAAAAAATACTTCCATTTTACAATAAAAACAATCATGAATAATATCTAATTATAAAGTGAGAAAAAAATTCATTATAAATAAATAGAAATTTATTTTGATGAGAATCACAATAATTTGTCATCAAATAAATATTCAATAAATCATTAATTCAATTTCATTTTAGTAACATGACATTTGCTATAAAAAAAATCGGTTACTACATCACCAAGATAAGTGAATCATTAATCCAATTTTGTCTTCATTTAAGTGTAAGAATAAAATTGCGCTAAATACTTATATTAAAAAAAATTCACAAAAAAAAATCAGACAATCAATGAATTGTTGTTTCTAAATCAACACATTTGTAAATCATAACATAAAATTAATTTCAAAAAATTATTATATTATAAATTAATCACTTATACACTGTCAATGTAAAATTTTTTATATTGCCAGTTAATCAAAAACATTAATAATGCCTTTATTAGAGTCATTTGAGTTATGTAATTTAATTTATTTATTATTCATAAAGGGTTGAAAAACTAAATGAGAAGAAGTGATTAGTTGAAGGGATTTAATGAAGGAGCAACGCGACACATGATGAAGCACTCACTCACTCACTGTCTCGGTCTCACTCCATATTCATTAATTGAAAATTCAAAAGTTTTGGTTCACCAACGAATTATTCAAATTTTGAAGAAAACCAAACTTTCCCGCGCTTTTGAAAAACCAGAGGCATTTGCATTCATGTAATTGAGTTGCAACTTGCAACATCGGAATTTTATTAAAGCATGTTTGGTCATTACTGCTCCTATACGCCACCTATGGACCACAAATGCAAAAGTACAAAATATATTATCTTTTATTATTATTTTTGAATTTATTACTAAGCGCTCGAGCATTTCTGCTCTCAACGTTAATATTCCATACCCATCAATGAGATTGTTTCATTTTACTCCAATCTGAACTCACATTTGAGTTTGATTATTTGTTTAGTTTGAATCTAACTTCATCATGGCCTCGCTTTATGATAAGATTAAGATTCAGATTGTTTTTTAATGTGATGATGAGATTGAGATTTTTAAACTAAGAGTATTTTATTGCATTTTAAAATACATTGTCCCGTCATTTTTATTTTAAGGTACACGTCTTATAATGTATTACAGATCTGTTAAACAAATGTTAGTTTTTAAATTAATGGCACCAAATCCAATTGGATAAATTAAAAGAGTGATTTGCACATAAATTTAAAATAAGAATGGACCATTTTGTGGTAAGTTTTAGAATAAAATTTACATTACAGCTTACTGGTGTTTGTTGAATTTCCACATCTTATTTCTGTCATTTTAATGTCCTTATTAACTAACTTTTTCAATTGTTAGAAACATGTTACAACGCGTACTTCTGTAAGAAAAGGTTATTAAAGATGTTAAAATGCTAAGAATATGATTAAATTTCAACAAAAGTTTGTGAGAGAAATGTGAGGATGATTTGTGTTAAATTTTAACGTTGTGTTTTAAAATTTATAATTTAAATAGAGTATTCAATCTAATGTTCTAATGTTGTCAAATAAATATAAAATTGTAATTATATTTACGTTAATTTATTATATATTTTTAATCAATTTTATACATTCAATTTATAATGAGATAACCGATTATACACCAAACATAATTAATTATATATAAGATGAAAATAGGTCAGACTTTAAATATGTATTTAAAGTTATTTTATAAAATTATAAGTTTAACTTGACTTATTAACCTATTTAAACGTCTATTTAATATTAATAACATTAAATAAGTAAATAAACTTAATTTTAAATAAATTAACAAATTTATATTTAAATACGTGCGTGATTTTTTTTAATTTACATAATAAAAAATAAGTTACTCTATTATTATTAAATGTTATATTTTAAAATAAATAAATAAAGTAAGATGGACAACTCATGCATGCATACGTACAAACTGTGATGAAAGAAGATAATTTTATAAGAAAATAAATCTAAAATTTCCTATATCTCATTTGAAATGTTTTAAATAATCAATTATGAAAATGAAGAAAAAGAACAAGTGAAGATGTCACTATTAAAATTTATATTTTTGATTTATTGATTTTGTACTAATAAGAAATGTAAAACATTTAAATGTGGTAAAAACATAAAAAAATATTATAATTTTAATTTTATATATTACAAATTTATTTATTTAATTATATTGTTAAAAATGTATAATATATATATATATTATTTTTTATTATATCATATAGATAAATAAATTGATTTATCAATATAATTAATTATTTTTTATAAATCTGAGCCAAACATTTTATAATAAATAAACTTTTTTAAAAATTTAAATAAAACTTATTTATTAACTAAGTCATATTATATCAATTTTTCAATGGATCAAATCATAAACTGGTGTTTAAAGTTTATTCAATTCTCATCCTTAGTTATACCATAGTTAAATTAATTGTAATCGGTAGTAGATTCATTGATGGATTATAACTTCATTTTAATGTTTATTATAATCAGTTATCACTTGAAATTAATTGATTATATTTGATTTATTAAATTTGTATTTTATTTTAATCAAATTTGATAGTTTTTTCAATCGATTTGCATTTCACATGTAATAATGCTAAAATTTGGTGCGATTGTGTGTTAGTGTTGCATAGTACATGTATTGGATTTAGTGTTTGAACTTATAAATTCCTAGTTTATTTTTTATTAAAAATAAACTATGTTTATTATCTTATTACAATTAATCATATCTTTTTTATGTTAAAAATATTTTTCATTAAAATTTTATTAAATTAAAAATAAATATAAAAAACATGATCCTAATTTTATGTTGATAAATTTTTTTAAAATAAATTAAAACATGAAAAGTGATAATGATTTAAGAATGCATAATTATCAAATGTTAGGATTGGGTGAAGTAATTAAATATATCATTTAGTTGTCATTTTACGTTTGTCAGTTCAGTAATTATTTTTTATCAATAAATTTAATTCAATTAACTAGCTAATTTTCATTTTTTTAGTTGACCTTTTAAATTTAATAACTTGTTAATTTTCTTAAACATTTTAATCTACATTCTTTATTTCTATTCTTAAGCACGCTCACACACAATTTATCAAATTAGAAAGGTAAAACATTGGCTTTCAAGTTTAAACTCAGAATTTATCAAATTAGAAATGCATAATAAAATAATTAAATTAATTGATACATATAAAATAATCTTAGTGAACAAAATTATGATAAAGGGATTAAGACTTTGTAATAGTCTCACATATTTCTACATTTTAAGATTCAATAAGTAGTAGTGAAGAATATAAATTTAATTACTAAAATTAACATGCAATTCTTGTATATAGATGCAATAATATATATATATATATATAGAGAGAGGGGAAACTAATCAACTAAAATTGTAAAAGTTCCTAAGTGGAACTATAAGATAGATCTTGTACATATATATATATAATTACAACAAAATTCAATTGAAAGCATAAAATTCTAGTTGTCGATCAAACAACATTTATACAAGATAACTTTATCAGAGTAACTCAAGACAACATCGCCATTCTCAAACATGACTCCCAAAATATATTCTTCCTTTAGCTTATACATGTCCTATTTCCATATAAATATGGTCGTCGCAGTCCAATCACAAGAAAACATGCAAGGGTAAGCTACTATTAAAAAAATAATAAATTGTATAGAAGAATGAATTGATATACTACAACTAAAACAATTAAATTATTCAACTACTCCAGGTAGTAACTTAACAAACATAGCAACATTGTTCACTTGCAACACAATTACACAATTTCTCACTATACAACATAATCATACAATTTATCAACATCTCAACATGGCATATGAACAATACAACATATCAACATGTCATATGTAGAACAACTACACGTGTCATCACACATTCAACTAAGAAATCTCTTACAATATAGGTAAGTAGTTTAAATGACTTGATCTTATTGAACCAACTTAACAACTTGATCTTTTTAGGCTTACTAGATCAACGTCAAATTTGGATATAAATTCACAACACATGGTTTCTTGGGTTTCGCCACTTAAACTAGGAAAGTATAGTATTCCTGTTAGGGTAGAAAAAAATAATTTGGATGTGAGCTTACCACGACCTTAGCATGCACAATTA